AAGTATAATGGGAAATTGTTTCCTGTGTGTAACAAATTCGTAGATAGCATAAATCTAGATGTAACCCTTTCTGTGTCACAATGTAAATCAATAATTATGGTCAAATGTAATTGATATACATCTAGCATAAATACCCATTACTGTACCAATGGCACCATTAACTAATCCTACAGTCACATCAATATTGCGTCTAAGCATTACTCTACAGCCTACTGCTAAAGACACTACAGTATCTAAACCAGCTGTTCTGCTTAGTTGATTCTTTAGTTTCTCAAATTTTTTTGTTTTTTGTCAAATTTTGCTGTGTTGCCACTTTCATCAACAACATGAGCACATCCTGATTCTATTTTGTGAGTTTCTAGATTTTCTAACAATAATTCATTAATTTTTTGGCATCTACCTTAGACAATAGGCGAATTATAGGATTTGTTGCTTCACTTTCCAATTCCTTTTGTATTTCTTGTATTAAAACCTTAAATATGCGACTCTTAAGCATATCAATAGTTTCATGAGTCACACAGCCATGCCTAACACAATCAAGCATCTTAAAAGAAAACTGTTGTCTCCTTTTCGCCATTCATTGATTGTTAGTTCATCATATTCTACAGTTTCTTTTCTTGTGTTAACTGCATTTGCTGCCCCAAGTCTAGCTTTTATTAATTTGTTGCTTAATTTTTTAAAACAATGGTGTACCGTTAACTGGTGGCAATTGTAAGAGGTCACCTACAAATAAAATATTTTTGGATTCAAACCAGTCATCAGTTCCAAATATATCTTCTAAGCCGATTTGCAAGTATGCTAGATTTAGAATGGATACCATAGATAGCTCGTCTCCTATTTTATATTTCAATTTTTAAGTGTCATTTGTATCCTTTTCTGAGCTTCTTTATTCAAAGCCTGACATTGAGCTGTTTTTCACTTGTGCTCTATTGGTAGCTGAAATAATCTATGTATTGTCAGTCCGTCTACATTAAATGTGGCTATACCTGTTGGTGCTACTATAGCACACATAATTTCACCACTTTTTGGATGCCATATGTCATCATCCATTAGGGATTTTATTGCAATAATGATTTACCAGTTCCACCTACATCACTAATAAACATTTTTAGCGGTTTGATATTTTCTAATCTAAGTAGTCTTGAAGACTCATTCTATAGTAAGTTTTCACGTTATTTTTGGCTTAGATGATTTTTGATTTTATCAAAAATCCTTTTTGATCTACATCAAGCATAGTTTCTCTTTGCTGTAACGTTAAAATAGTCACATTAATATGCATGTCACCAATATCAGCTACTGCTTCCATTATTTCACCCAGTAATTGAGGCTCATCATCTTTGTTATCAGGATGTTCTTTAGTTAAATCGGATTGCATCGACAATTTTCATCCAAATACGTTCAGCTTTTAATTATTTCTGTAGTTTCTTGACCACATATAGATGCTTCTTTGTGATGCATAAAAGCTTCTGTCATTGTTTCTCCTTCCGTTACAAGTGTGCTCTCATCTCTAAAAGGCACAAATAAAAATATTAGTGAGTAATAAAAATTGTCTGATTGCGCTTCTTTCATAGGATTAAGTTTCCTATGGCTTGGAAAGACTGGCTTTGATCGATGTTTGTATTCTCTTTCACCAATTGTCCCCATTTTATTAAATTTGTAATTAGCAACAAATTAAAAGAGATACATCTTCCATTTTATTCGGTCTTGTTGCATGTAAGTCTTCAATTATGCTAGGATTAAAAATGTCTTTTGAAGATTGATCCATGAATTTATATTTAAATAAGAAAATTTTTTGATTTTTCTGCTCCTCTTATGAGGCAAGTACACGTTAATGTACTGTACAGTTACTGATTTCATGTAAAAACTTTCACCAAGAAGGTCTTAGCTTCAAATAGTCCTACTTCTTTGGATCTAAGTAGCTTTTGTCCAATTTTCCAAAGCCTGCTGTATATGTTGTCAGAACTGCTGACTTCATCTCATCAATCCTGCACATGACTCTTTTCTGCTTTAGTGAAACGTCTAGTTATATATCTATTAAGGAAAAAATCTCTTCTTAGCTACATATTGTAAGTCCATGCTAGCACGCCACAATTTCAACTGTAGTCGTTGACTGAAACTTCTTTTTCATTTGCTTGAGATAATATATTTTATTGCATGATTTCAAGCTATTTTCTACATCATTGATGCAAATACTATTTCTAACTGGTCGAGGAAAATTGAATCAGCATCTAGATACATAAGTCTTGCAGACTTTAAAATGTTGCTTGCAGTATTTGCTGCACTTGTGCATTTGGTATTTTGGTACCAAGAAATTTAAATCTGGCGATGTATTACTTTCTGGTATATGACACGTTATCCTAGCTTGTATGAAAGAAGAGACTTCTTGAGGATGATCAATGCCAACAACAGCAAATTATCAATCCATAGGAGGATGTGATAATGACGTGATTCACACATCTAAAATTCTTTTTTAACATAATATTGCTCTATTTTGCCTAGAATACCTCTGTGGAGAAAAACTATATTAAATAAATTCTTAAAATTTAATGAAAATTGTCACAATATTGAATCAGGGTCCTCAATACATAATCTAGAAATACAATATGATTGTGGAGCATTATTTACTTTTCTTAAATATTGGACTATATCAGCTGAATCGTATTCAGCACAACTTAATGTCAGGAAAAGTGTTGGTGAACCATACTCAGCAATCATAGTTTTGACCTCACCTTTCACACGGAACCAATATTGATTTGTGCCCCGTATTGGAGCAAACATGGTTCTTCAATGGCCTTCAAATTCTTCATCTAAAATATTACTTTTCCTATATTTCAGCTACGGTTTGGCCAACATTGCCTCTTGTTGCTTTTAACAAATTATAAATAAAAAAATTTCTATTAAATAAGAAAAAGTAGGGTTGTCAAAAAATAAAAGAAACAAGGGGGTTGAGATCAACTATAATAATAATTAATAGTTCAATTAATAATAATAAACTTTAAATAATATAATAATGTAGTCATGAAAATAAAGAAAAATTTCAAACCCTACTTTGCAGAAAATGATAATGTGGTGAGTCCATGCAAGTACAATTTCTAACAAGTACGTTAATTTTATAAATTTTTGATATTGTACTGAAGCACAAAATTGAAAGAATGCATTAGCCTATGCATAATTTCCATTTGTTTTCTTGTGATGACAGTAATTATTCAATCAATACTAGCTGAAAAGTCTTATTTATGTTTATCACAAGAATTGATTTACATCATAGTATTGTAGTAGAGCAATCAATAGGTACTGAGGCATAATTATTATTAAAATTCTATTTACATTGTATTCTGCCTTTTACAATTTTCTGCAAAGTAGGGTTTGGAATTATTGCTATTTTCATGAATAAATTATTTTTTCATTAATTTAAGTTTATTATTATTAATTTAACTATTAATTATTATTATGGTTAAACTCAACACCCTTGTTTCTTTTAATATTTTCACAACCCTACTTTTTCTTATGTAATAGAATATTTTTTATTTACTTGTTTTCATACTTTTTATTAAATTTTATTAATTAATTATCCTAATTATTGATTATTATAATTTTTGCCTTAGGTATCAGTTCATTAATGGAAGAAAAGAATTTTGAAATAAGAACCATAAGAAGACGTACCGCATTATAAAAATAGTTTTTGAATTTTTGAATCATTAATTATATTGATAGCCTAGTTCATAATTATTAATCATTAGTTGTCATTACTAAGATTTATGTACGGTTCTGAAACTATTTAAGTTTACATTCAGCTTCAGTGGCCACTTTCCTGCTCACAGCTCTCAAACTTTTCTGCAGTTTTGCTTTGCAACCTAAGTTTTGTGGAAGAGCAGCAAGTCAGCTCAGTTACATACTTACATTAGCTATTATTATGTTTTCTTATAGTTTGTGAATTATGATGAGCATCATGGAGTTTCTCCTCCTCCTCCACCACCACCAGTAGTTGAAGGGCCTCCACCACCACCGCTACCAGTAGTTGGAGGGCCTCCATCACCACCTCCGGCTGGAGGCCCACCACTACCACCACCAGATGATGCTGGTCTTCTTCCACCACCATCATCACTTCCTCCGCCACCTCCAGTAGCTGGAGGTCCTCCACTAGTTGCTGGTGGTCTTCCACCAGAGCCTTGAGGTCCTCCACCAGTTGATGGAGGTCCTTAACCTATGGCTAGAGATCCTCCACTGATGGCTGAAGGTCTACCACCAGTGGATGGAAGTCCTCTGCCACTTTGCCCTGCTGCTCCAGCACTCCATCCAGCTGGAGCTGGAGACCTTCTTGATGTTGCTTCTATGCAAAGGCAGAGGCAGCTCATTATGTGGGAGTTACACCAAGTCAATTGAGAAATTGTAAGATTAGTATAGGTTATACACCGAGGTAGAGGTTGTTATGGTATCTATTAACTGAGT